TGAAAGACAATATCATTCAAGTGTCCTCTGTTTTGTGTGCCACACATCAAAGAAAACAGTTGCTCTGCCGAAGGAAATGTTTAACGGACGCGTAATTTCACGAGGAGGGGACATCAATTGGCCACCAAGATCGTGTGATTTAACACCATTAGACTTTTTCCTACGGGGATTCTTGAAAAGTGAAGTCTACGCTAATAATCCAAAGACTATTGACGAGCTGAAAAACAATATCACAGCCGCCATTGATGAAATTGAATTTCAGTTATGTGAAAATGTCGAACCTATCGGGCTCATGAAAAAAGGCCGAGGAGGACACTTGAATGATATCGTCTTTCATAATTAATGTCATAAAGTAGACTTTGTGTTAAAATAAAGAAACCATACAAATCTCAAATATTATACTTTGCGTTTTATTTCAATTTGAAGATGTGACACTCAATTCGGATAACCCTATATTTATATAATCTGAACTTACCCGATTGCGTCGAACATTCCACTGACGTGCATCATAAATATCATATTCAAAAGATCGCTGCCAATTTGAATAGCAAAACCCATAAAAATTCCTACAACCACGTGGGTCGTAATTGGATAAATGTATTGCTCGTAATCAACGAAGTATTCGGTTAAAACTATCAAGCCATTAGCTCTGGTCTCGTTTCGAGATGTGATCGTATTGGTAGTTTGCGAAAGCGTATGCAAGAAGACGATAGAGAACAATAGCAAACATGAGGACACTGGAATCGTGACAAAATCGAAAAGTTTAGGGTGAAAGTCTTGTTCCTGCAATAGTATGAATTAAAATATTCGTGAGTACGTTTTACTTACGCAACAAGAACGTACTGTAACGCGAGGCCTTTGAATATCCTCTTCTTAAGGCGTTGATCTCTTCAACATCTTTCAACCCGCAGCAATCGATCCTCATGTGCTCGAACGCCTGGTTATACTATGATAAAGTGACAATCGACGGAAAATTCTTTTATATAGATAAAACTGTAATAAAGCTTAAAGTTACCGTAAGGAAATAAATAAATCGTATATAGAAAAGGAAACTCGTTCCAATCTAGAAAACACTTTCGTGAAATGTTCAATTTGTAAAGAATGTATCGTGTAACCGGCGTGTCAGACTATTTACATAGGCTCTGTCTGTTTCTATTCAATATATTTACTTTCGCGGTAATTTTCTTAGTTCCTTGTCGTCGACTTACCCCATCGTTTTTCACCCAAAATGTTGCATACTTCAGTACGACTAACATGCACATTAACGTGGCTGGCATCGTGTCGATAAGCAGATCGATACTAATCTCGGTAGTGAAGAACACGGAAACCTATAAATAGGTTATACAAATTTTCGAAAATATTTAACGCAATATTTATTATATCAATCGATCAAGTAATTGATTTAGTAACGATATTTTCAATCAGACGATATTCTTATTGGAATGTTCTGACAAATGACAGAGATTGAAGTATAATTAGCAGTACTGAGTCCGTCAAATTAATTCTTACAAGTGCAATTTATGGCAAAGTATTATATGAGTCTATGCTAAGAGACGAAGGGGTTAAAAATATTCACACTTCCATAAATCATCCACAAAAATAAATGGAAACCATATTTAAAGTATTCATGAGTAACGCTAAAATAAAGCACCACACCTGAACGCTAATAAAGGATATTTGATACAAGCAAAAACAGATTCTTTGCACCGTCTTTCTTTTCGAATAATCGAAAGGCCACACGCCGATATGAAACAAAAGCGGGTAATATTTCTTAATACAACTCTGCTCGAGGAAGTCCATCGCGGCTCGAAAGTCAAAACACGACTGCCGCCAATCGTCCCTTATCCCTCCAAAGATATTTCCCCTGAATTTCTCGTGGTAATCGTGGTACGTAAGATAAATACAGGGTGCAAGCCCCACGTAATATCTTGACTCCCTCCTTATTTTCACGCCAGCAAGGCGATATACGCTGTAATATTGTATTTTGAGCCCGAACACTGGTCGCTGAAGAATGGTACACGTGTTGGTTACACTATGGTCGGGGAAAATGTTATAATAACGCCGTCCGATGAATTTACTATAATTTTCCTCGCCTCTGTTCACTTGCAGACCATCATTTTTATTAAATCAATACTCTCCCGCTGGGGACAATTATGCTTCTCTTGGACGATTCTCGTCAGATTGACGGCTGTTTCGAAATTCTGTACATTTTCTTGGATAATATGGGATCTGTAGCGTGCGTCTATAGTTTTCTTGGATAGTAGAACAATTCGAAACAGAGCATTCTGCTTTCAGCTTTTGTAGAGTGAAGATCCTCTTTCAAGAAGAACGTATACTTCGTTGTCGTCTCTCGGTCTTTTAAAGAGAGTAATTGGATTTTGTATGTATTATTCGTTATTAGTATTTACTTCTTATTCCCGGTATTTCGGTTTGATTAATCATATGTGAATATTCCGTGATTTATTTCTCTGCCACGGAAAATTATTTTCTACCTTGCTTAGTTATTGCCGGATGTCATTTTTAAACTAATGAACAGAATAGAGTTCATGGTAGGGGTAGGATTTTTTTCTGGAATTGTCATGATAGACGAATAGACTGTAATATTAGTTATCGACGAAACGTGAATAATGTTTCTTTTACAAGCAAATACGGTGACTCTTACTAATATTCGGACACTTTTTAGAACAGTATAACTGTTTTAAAATTGGACTTAACGACTTGAGAATTTTTGGGAAGTTAGAAGGACTAAAATTTTTTGAAAAAATTGCAATTTGTGGGAATCGCGAGGAAAATTGTAAAGGTCACATTCGACAACTTTTTTTATCTGAGCCCGTAATGAAAATTTAAAAAATACGTTTTGTAGATTTATGCCAATTATACGCATGTTGAAAATTTTATCGAAATCGGTTAATCTTACTATGAGCTACTAATCGTTAAAGATTGTGAAAATCGCACTATATCACGACGTTCGACCTAGAACTGTAATAAATTTGCAGATTCTTACATCTTTCGATGCCTGTCGCTTGTTTCTCCATCTACCGATTTCGATGAAATTTTCAGCATGTGTATAATTGACATAAATCTACAAAACGTACGTTTTAAATTTTCGTTACAAGCTCAGGTAAAAAAGTTGTAAACAATGACCTTTACAATTTTCTTCGTGATTCCCACAAATTGCAATATTTTCAAAAAATTTTGCACACATCATTTTGTATACTAATCTTTATAACTTCTCAAAAAAACTCCAGTCGTTAAGTCCAATTTTAAAAAAGTTATACTGTTCTAAATAGTGTCCGAATATTAGTAAGAGTCACTGCACATATATTCCTTGTTCGAAAATATATTATATATTACAAGATGTGATATTGGATGTTTTTTCGATTACTTTCTTTCTTTTGACAGATGAAGAAAAATCTGAGGTGTCATACCGATGCAATGTTATATCCATAACCAGAATATCGACGTAATACAGTTGATCAAATCGTCCAAATGACAGCCTTGGACAAAGTGTTGTCCTTCACGTTCGTGTGGTACGTACCATAGTGAAACAGGAGACGGAAAACTGCAGAATCTTCAAAGCATAGAATTTTTATGGACCACGTCAATGAAAGATTCATTTTAAAAATTGATAACGTGAAATTAGATGGAGATAAGGAAAATCGTGGGATCTTAATGTCACAGAATTTCAATCTAAGATGTTCAGTATGAACTCACAACAATTGGTGAGTAGAACAATGGTGAATTATATAAAAGAATGTCCACTAAGGCAAATAACACAAACTGAAGGGTTGTTTCGGCATCTTCATTATCCATAGTATTAATTATTCTAGAAACTTGCACATAAAGCACTTTTTATTATGATATATTATGAAATTACAGTAAAAATAATTGAAGGGGAGACTTTGTTGTGGCGTTT